CCTACACAACTGCTGGCGAACAGGTAAGTCTTTTGACAATGCCCTTTGCTTCAGGATGTGCCCGTTGGTAGAGAACTTGGACTCTTGACCTGCTTTTCACGTTTCTGAGCCCTGGCGAGATACCTTTTCAGGCTGCTTTACTTTTACATGGCCCACGTTGCTTAGTTACAAGGCCTGAGGCCTACATTGGGTGAAAAAGGCCCTTTCAGTGGGCTTGGCCAGCGGATTCTTTTTCTGATCATGATGCCCCATTGTGTTTCTGGAATTTCAACAGGTTTGTTGCCGAAAGCACAGGAAAGCAGGCCAGCAGTCGGCTACTTAGCGTGAGATCCACAAATGCCATCTTGGAACTGCCTCGCGGTGATGGGGCAGTCTCAGCTGGTACATATGTATCAGCTCTTGTGATTGGTGACATAAGGGATATGCCTTGCAGTGAGGATGTGCATGCTGGTTTGTCAAAAGGTCTCGCAGGTCAAAAATGCAGCGAAAAGCATGGTCGGCATCATCATGGCCATCATCATCGGCGACATGATCATCCCCATGAGCCAGCAGCAGCCAATGAGCAAGCAGAACAGTCGGCATCACAGAGGTCTGGTGAGGAGCATTCTCGAAGCAACCCCTCATCAGGAAATGGAGAAGGGAAGGAATCGGCCGATCATGCTGGAGCTGGGGAAGGTCAATCAGCAGGTGCTAAACATCACCACCATCGGCATCGACATCATCACCACCACCATCATCAACCAAACAACAAACAGCAACATGAGACAAAGCAAGAAAGTTCCAAGGATAGAGGTAGCAGTGCAAGTGGAGGGGACAGAAGCTGTGGCCAGCAAGAGAAGCTCGCAGACGTGAATGTACGTGTGGCCGTATTGACAGTTAGCGACACTGTGGCCGTGCGAAATGGGCCTGACAGAAGGTAATGAAAAAGTGAAATGTGATGACCCGACCAAACACAGACTGAGACATGCAGCTGATTTCTGAGTTTTGCTCATGGACTGAATGCCTTGCTGAGTTTCCCGCTTGCTACTAAGTTCTCTAAGTCTGTGTGTGGGCACGCTTGCTGGTCTGCACGTCTGTCTGAGTGCTTGTTGGCTTGTGTGTGTGTGTGACCCGCAAGGGCTTGTTTGTTGGGCCCTCAGGGCCGGTACTTACCTGTGGCCGTGACATTGAGGGTTGCAGCGGGAAAAACACGCAAGTGGCGGGGGAAGAGGCCCGCAACACTTGAAGCAGCGGGGAAACATAACTACCAGGCGGGTACCACACCCCAACGAGGTAGATGTGCCGGGTACTCGAGGCCGAACAGAAGAAGACAAAAGTTAGCATTTTTAGAGGCCGAGTAGTTGTAGGCTAGGTCTAGGCGGGTACCAGTCCAACCAGTCTGAGTCTAGGGCCTGTACGGGCAATATCAGAGTCTGCAGTGATGTTTCCCTCCGACAGGGAGGAGGTACCGATTGCTTGGAAGGCTGAGCGGCCTGGAAGTCACCGCCCAAGAGGCAAGCAGGCCGCTGTATCTCCAGGCCGGGCGAAGAGCCCAGCCTCATTGTCGGTGTGCAAGTTTGGCGACACACTGGTTGGAGCGCTGGCTGGAGCAGCGCTAGCTTGGAGCAGCGCTGCTGGGGAAGGAGCAGGGACACGAAGGAAGGAGAAGACCATGAGGAAGGGGGAGCGCCAGAGGTACTTACCTGGGTATGGTGGCAGCCATCTTTTCACCTTGGTGGGCGCTGCAGCAGGAAGACCCCAGTTGGGGAAGAGCTACACCAAGAAGCTTGGAGGCAGAGTCAGGCATGGCGGCCTGAGCTAGAGCCATAGCTGCTTTGGGTTGTCCCTTGGACATCACGGCAAGGCCCTAGTAGTCTGCCATAGCCTCGGCCTATGAGATTGAAGAGTGAGAGAGGCGGCCATGGCTACGGTGGACCTCAAGTGATACCTGCAGGAGAAGAGGGATTCGGGCATTGATTCTGGTTCAGCCATTCAACGTTGTATTATTATTTCTTGTGTGAATAAGAGAGGAGGAGATAAGGAGGAGGAGAGTGTTTGGCGAAGAAGAAGAGCATTATGCAATGACTTGTTGTTTTCTGCCGTCGGTGACCCGCCGACCCGAGGCTGTAACATAGGTAGGTTAGATTCCTTGTTTTGTTTGGCTGAGGGCTAACCGAGCGACCTGCCTGTAGGGAAATTCGTGAGGGACATATCTGCAAATCCGGTAAAATATAGGCCCGCACTGACTAGAATTTCCTACAGCTATCCTAACTGTGAATAGCAGGCCCGGGCTACCCCTAGGACGGACAAGGCCTATGCCGATAGACGGTCCTATAGCCTATAGCCGGGTAGGAAAGAGGCCGAGAGGCCAAAACTGAAATGGTACGGGTCGGTCTAGTCAGTTCGGTCTAGGTCTAGGCTAGGGTAGTGTAAGTCTATAGATGGATGGTGGACATCACTTTGGGGGCTTTTGGCAGTTGGTACCGAGTACATCGCTGCTGTACAAAGCGTGAACTGGAAGTGGTGACAACTTCAGCATTGGGAAAGACGGACATAGTCGGACCTGCGAAGTGTCGGCTATAGCTGGGACTGGCACTGTGCTCTGACAGCACGCGGGGCTGCTCATAGGTTCGGGCTATCTGAAGTCGGCTGGAGGCGAGAGAAGTTGGTGCCCTGCTGGACCCTCCTCAGGAGTAGGGTCTCTGGGTGTTTGGCGCTGCAGCCATAGCTGCAGCTTTCTTCCTCAGAGCTCATCTTTGTTAGGAGAGGTGGTGCTGCTATAGACTTCCATCCTGGAAGTCCTCTGGCACTTCATCATCATGAGACACTATAGCGCTGGTCTTCTTCTTCATCCTCTGAGAGGCGCTTGGCCTCAAAGGCCTGTTGTAGGGTGGCGCTTCCCTCTGGAGGTAGGAACTGGGTGGAGCTTGATGTTTCAGGGACTCAGAGGCAGTTCTAGCGGCTGTTTAGGGTTGGGGAGTGAAGCACTGCTCATTTCTGAGCAGCACGCCATGGTTCTAGGGTTATTTTGACATTTCGAGACTCTGAGTTTAATAAACAGTGTTGATATTGTGTGTCAACTATCTTTGCTTCATTGTTTCCTGGATGTGATCTACTCGGCTTTCCTTTCTGACTGGTTGTGAGGATACTGTGGAGCGATTTGCACTTATCGCATGGTCAAGTCTTTCGTTGTGTTTCTCTCTCCCTGTGCGGTGTGATACTCCCATCCTCTCCCCTTCCTTTTGTGTATGTATGGGCATACCCGAAAGTCTATGTGAGTGAGTGTTGGTCTTCTAACAACAAACAACCAGGTTCATAACAGGTGGTATCGGAGCGATTGGATCTAGACAGTGAAGGGATTGACGAGTTGGAGCAACCATCATCATTTGGTAAGGTACTGGAGTTGAACTTCATGGCGATTTGTCATCTCCAGGGTTGGCGACAATGAGGGTGGTGGTCGTAAGTGTGTGGCGAGAGGTACGAGACAGAGGGTGACACACTCCTGCTTAGGGTTGTGCAGGAGTGAGTGGTGATTGATGCTCAGAGGCCTGGGAGGCTCTGAGGAGGCTATTTTTAGACTGGCGCCTCATCTGAGGATTGGCGATTGGTAAGAAGGTGACCCCGAGGTGTTGCGATTTTGGAATTGGGTCAGGATCGCCAATTTCCAAACAGCGCGGTATAGTTTGGAGCAGCGCTGCATTGAGTGTGTCAGTTATTGGCATTCGGGAGTCCGGATTCGCTGAATCTGTCTGTTGAGGGTGAAGCGCCACAGGAGGATCTATTGGATCACCAGTTTTCATAGTATTTTGTACGTGGGAACACTGGGTACAGGCAGAAGAAGACACTGGCGTGTTCCTTTTTTTACTCTGTGTGGCAATTCTAGGGTTATTTTTAGAATAGCGAAATTTAGTCTGTCAGCCAGTAGACAGTTGAAAATCGAAATTCAAACTGTGGGACAACCATAGCCAACTTCCCTTACCTATCTTCTTTGACTTCTACTAACCCTGTTCGACCTTCTTCCTGACTCAACTTTCATCTGGGACTGCTCTACAATGTTGCGATTCATCTTGTACTGTGAATCGGATGGAAATTTCAATTATACACTGCCCTAGCTGAAGCTTGGTTAGACTAGGGTCAGCCATAACTTACCCAGGGTATGACAAATTACAGATATCACTGTGTATGAAATCACACAACCATATTTGATGTTTTGAGTAAGTTACAGTGATATCTGTAATTTGCCATACCCTGGGTATGGCATACAAGGTCATCTAGTGGTGAAGTCAGTAGGGTAGTCTAAAAATAAATCGTTGCATCTTGGTCATCAATAGATACTTCTCTGTCACTAATTAGTCACTCTGTCAATTTACTATCCACTACTAATCAGTCCAAGACTGCATCCTGAAAGTAATTAATACAGGATTTGCAGTAATTGCGTGCAATTGATGTGTCAGGGCAGTGAATGGAAAATCGTGAAATTGGTTTTTGTTGAGTGATCTCTAATTTGACCTTGACCCTCAAGCGGTCTGCAGAGATTGAGCGCTTGTCTGCTCGTGCTAACCAACTTCTCTCTTCAGTTAGGTGACAGCAATTAAATGAGTACTGCAGAGAAAACCCAATTCCGGTTACTTCCATCTCTGTCTTCTGATTTATTGTTGATTTTTATTTATCTGTATTGTGGGAATTTCAAGATGTCTGATGCAGAGAAGGGAGAGGTTTCTGAGGTGAAGCCTGAGCTTCCTATTGACCCTTTAGAGGTTGAACTGCGTGTTGAGGAGGAAAAACTTCGGCAACAAGCACAGGCAGTTGAGGCTTTGAAGGCCGAGCTGAAAAGAAAAGATGAAGCAACTTAGAAGGAAGCCAGATGAAAGCTTCTTGTTTCATACATAGAGAAGATCAGGGTGAGTGGATCTTCAAGTCAGTACAATAAGGACATGGCAGAGTTCATCCTCTTGCAGGATGATATCCATCGGTCGTATTTTACTAACTGGGATGAGAGGATTACCAGGTCTTGCAGGATGATATCCATCGGTCGTATTTTACTAACTGGGATGAGAGGATTACCAGGTTGGAAAGTAGTCACTCAACTTTTTCTAAAAAGTTGGATGACATTTCTTCCAAACTGGATCAGATCTTCACTCATCTGCAGATTCCAACCACCCGGATTGTCCCTCCATCTCCTGGGGCCTGTCAAGCGGGACCCGAGCAACCCCCACAATCCAGACCCACATCCCCTCCTTCTACACCCAAGTCAACAGCCGCCTCACAACCCTCAGCTCCATTTGACCAGCAACGGCCCAACCTGACTCCTCCACCCATATTATCTGGTGAGGACCCGAAGGTGGATGTTGCAGATTGGGTCACTGCGCAAAGAACCTACCTAAGTGGGTTCATATGTGATGCGGATGTGAAGGTGAGTTCCATCCTTGCTCGCCTGGAGAGGACTACACTGAAACGGTGCACCTCTACCTCCAACAAGCAAGGGATGAAAATGTCTGATTGGGCGCAAAGGCTGGGGGCGGCTGGTTTTCTGCAGGCACTGCAAGACCGGTTTGCAGACAAGGAGCAGGCCAGAAAAGCAGCAGATAAAATTATGCGCCTGGGCTAGAAAAAGTTTGATGGCTCCTTGTCCAAACTGTATTCCACCTTTGAGAGTCTTACATCGACTTTTGGTGTGGAAATGAGTGAGCAGGATCTGCTCATTCATTTCCTAAGGGCAGCGCCTAAGCAATACCAGCTTGCTCTATTCTCTCAGGGCCACAAGGACTGACTGTCCTTTGGCAGAGCAGCCCTGGATCTGGAGTCCAGACTCCATGCACCTTCTGAAGGAAGGAAGGGACCCTCCTTAAAGGGGCATAGGAGGAAGGGTGTTTGTTAGCTGCAACCTCTAGTTCAGATGATGATGCGACATCCCAGGGTGGGACCCCTCCATTTGGG